GTGTATATTAATCGCGTCAACAATAAGAAAGGACGGCTCAGATCAAAGTCGGCGCGATCTAACGGTGCAGGATTTGTCCCACAATGTGGGAGGTGAGTTCTCATTGGCTAGTAATGAAAAAATCATAAAATTATCATATAAAATTTTTTATTAATGAAAAAAGTATAAATTATTTCTTTAAAAATACAATATATGTATTTCAATTTTTAGAATATTTTTTCTTATAAGTATAAAATTTTAAAATTAAGAACAATTAATATAGGTTAGTATTCCAACTATCTAACTTATATGTTCATATACACTAAGGCATAGTTTAGGGTTTAGGGTTTAAACTTTGGAATTTAGATTTTTTTACTCAAGTATTTATGTTTTATAGTTAAAACTTTAATTTAGAGTTTTAAAGATTTAATTTAATTAGGATTTTAACTTTAATTTAGAGTTTAAGGTTTAGGGTTTAGGGTTTAGGGTTAAGGGTTAGGATTTAGGGTTCACATTTCACAAAAAAAACATTAAAAACTTTTCACTTCAATTTTATTTACAAATTATGAACATATGAGATATTAGAGTATAATTGAAAAATAGTGAAATGTGTTTCAAGATTGAACCCTATACCCTAAATGGTTTAGGGTTTATGTATTACTTGTATAAATATATTTTAATTTTGTGTTCTGCATCATTATATATATATTAGTTTTTTTTTAATTTTGTGTTCCATGGTTTTATTTGTGTTTTAAAATAATTTGATAGTATATTATTAAGAAACTATCAAACGTTACAGAATAGTTATGAATTAAAATTTCTTTTATTTGTAGTTTTTAATTATATTTTGTGTGTTATTAATTAATATTTCTAAGATTGTTGTTTGAAGATTTTTGGAAATATTATATGGATATAGATGATAAGAGTACATATGTGACAGAGATTTATACAATAAAATTAAAACCATAAAAATACATTATTGAAACATAAACTCGTCTTCTGACATAGAATTAAGTTTATATGTGGTTGAGTTAAAAAGTTGCAGATCGAGTTAATAGCCTAAAAACTCTAAGACGAACAAGATTTTTTCTCGTTTGATTCACTTTGTCATGAACCTCCATCTCTTGCTCAAAGACGTAATCTAACTCGAGTTCTTGAAACCATCTAATGCAAAGCCTAAGCCTTTTTACATATTCGATCATATTCTCACATCTCTCCTGCAAAGAAAAACAAAAACCAACATCCAAAGGTAAACAGTTCATATCCGAAGGAAGTACTCATTGAATCAAGAATCTAAAGCTTCACAATCTTGAGTAAAGCCACAAGTTCTTCTTTCTTTTTTTTTTATTTTTTTTATTTTTTGTAATTTCCATGAGACAATACAAACTTTGATGCAAGTATCATCAAGTTCAATCTGAAATCAAGGAAAAGAAGAAGAATCACCAAGATTGTTGAATGTATTGAGCCTTGAGTCTGTGATGCAATGAGAATTGTTGAATGTATCACCCTGTTTCACAATGAGAAACCAAAATCAGAGATTCAATGCGATCAGTTCTTACAATATTTGCCTGCATTTATAACCAAATAACATCAGCTCTCTCAAACAATATTTAGACACGAGGTTAGAGATACCTTTAAGGACACTAGCTCTCTCAAACACATGCCTTGTCCATATCACAACAATACAACCATATCTCCACCACCGAGTATACAATTTGTGATAAAGAGTTCAAAGGATCAAACACTCAAATAACAATGACAGCCTACTCACATCAACACACACGAGAAAGAAAGTAAACAAACAAAGACTAAGAAAATAATAGCTTACAAAATAAACAAGTGGTGATCTTGATGATGTGAAGACTATCTACAAAAGAATTAGAAACTTTTAAAATCGAAATCCCACATATCTATTAGTTCTTCTAATTACAAAATTCAGCTGCAAGAACACTCAAATATATATATCAATTAGGAACCAATTATACTGAATAGATCGACTATTTACCAAAACCTTAAAATCAAAATCCGAAATTGAACTCGAATACCTTTAACTGAAGTCTCACCGAGCTCTTACTGCAAAAAAGAGAAATAATCGATGGATTAATACCCAATATGGAAATTAAAACCTTAAATCTGTGAAAAAATAACCAAAACCCAAGCACTATCTCACCTTCAGTGTCAAATTCGACCTCACCAATTCGATTTACCGCTTTAGATGACGATTGAGAGGGAACGAAACGGAGATAGATTGAGATCGAGAATGAAAGTAAGAGGAACATGACTGTAATTGAGAGATCGAGACAGAGATGGAGTAACGAGTCTGATTGAGAAATCGGGACAGAGATGGAGGATCGAGAGTTGATATCGGGATAGAGATGGAGGATCAAGAGTTGCCAAAAGAAAAATTGAAATGAGACAGAGGTGTCGAATGGGAAAGAGATAGAGACGTGAACCCTAATTTTTTACCACATACCTTTGAGATATCCCAAAAAAATTTTAGTTGGGCGGGCATCAATTTATTTTATTTTATTTTCGCGGTTAACATACCATAGCATTCCAAATTTTGTATAGAGAGATGGATAGCCAAATTCTTAAGCGGGAACCACATCACTTTTGCCGCTCAATATATTATAGCGTTTTATATTTCACAAACGCTATGAAAGAAAGAGACAATAATCAAACATAGCATAACCATCTAAACCGCTATCTTCAACTGCTATCAATACTTGCTTTTCATGTAGTGTGTGTCTTGTAAGAAAAGTATCTTGTGATCCAATTCAGGGGCGGACCCACTTACAAGAAAGGTGGGTCACCTGACCTGGGTAAATTAATCAAATAAATTTTAGTGTTTATAAGCAACAAAAGTTCCAACAGCATAGTTGGTATTTTCCAAGTTGTTGACACACCTAAACCTGGGTTCAAGCATCCCAAATGACATATTTAGTCTTTTTTTTTTTCCATTTCAACTTAAATGCATATCTTTTTGTCTTATATACTTTTAAAAATTAAAAAATAACAGCAGTTTATATACTCTTTTTTTGTTTGCTTATGAAATAATTTTTTTTTTAAGTATTGACCCGGGTAAAATTTATTTCTGGGTCCGCCACTGATCTAATTAAATACAATGTAATCTTTTAAAGTAAAATGTGTTCTTGTTTTCTCTAAACAAGTGAACACAAACGTAAAAGAAAGAGTGTAAGATAGAGAGAATGTGTGAATTGCAACAAGATTCAATATTTTTCTTCCTACGTTCTTAATATAAATTGTTTGTAATACCTAGTTTCTATAGTCATCATATTAGGCCAAACAATAAAAATCATTAAAAAGAGAGAAATCTTTAAAAAAAGATAAAGTCAATTTCAACTTTTAACTCAAGTCATGCATGGAATCAAATACGTCAAGAAAGTCATAAATTTTTTTTCCAAGACATCAAATTAATGCATAGAAGGATCCATGACTTGACCAAGGAACAAAACCAGTCCGCTTCTGTACTCTTCGACGATGAAGAGAAAAGGATGATCAGCCACGAAGTCATACTTCTTTGGCGGAGGACGACAGCCAATTCTTCTAAATGCGGCAGCAGCTGCAGCTTTCGATCCCACTTCATTACCTCGATGCAAGACTTGTGGATGATCGTGGACAATGGCACCTCCAAACCCAAACCCTTGAGAGCTTTCGAGGCTTCGAAAGTAAAATTAAATTTAAACCTTGGAATCTTGAGTTCTTTGATATCCGCCGAGTGGCTAGGAAGGACCTTGTTGTCCTTCAAGAACCCAGGAGTAGAAGCTAATCTCTCCAGCATTGCAGGCAACGCATCTTTCTCATCAGGGAGATAGATTTGCATTGAGAAAATACGACTGTCTTCTTTGTAATTGCGTCCTCCTCTGTATGGTAGCGTGAGGACTTTGAAACCTTCGTAAACATTGAGTGTGTATTTGCAGGAGGCACCAGTCATGAAGGGCACACGTACTTTGGTTCCATCAAGAAGGTGAAAGTCGGAATCTTTTGTTAGAGATGGATCGAATTCCGCATCCCATCTTCCGTTGAAGAACAAGGCATTAGCAAATATGAGATCAGTCAAAGGAGATGCAGAGTTTGGTGGAAGAAGATTAGTGATGAGTCCTTTTGTCTGCTTTTCAACCCATGAATTCACCTCTTTATTCACTTCATCGGCCTTTCAAAAACAAACAAACCAAAGCTATCAACGTCTGTGTTTACTTCATAAAGCCCAACATATTAGTATAATCCCTAGTATTTAGCTAAGTTATTCACCGAATGATGTTCATATAAGTGAAACTGAAGGAAATATTTGGAGAGGTTTAAGGAAATTAGGTTATACAAACTACTATGACTTGATTTTCTCACAAAAGCCTTGTCTACGTCAGATTAAGCATGTCATTCTATGTTACATCTAACTATCTAAGCATGTTATTAATATTCGTATAATATAATACCTAGGTTTATTTGGATCAAAGAGAGTACCTTGGTGAGGAAGTCAACTTGGTTGAAAGCAGCTTTATACGAATTCAGCAAGAGATCCTTGAAAGAAGGTTCCACAGAGAGAGTCTTTTCAATCCAGACGCCATTCGCTGCCGATATCGTCGGGCCTCCACTCGCGGTGCTGTCGGCGAGGATGGTGGTGACGATCCCGGAGGAGACAGCGTTAAGCTCATCGGTTGACGAAGCCTGAAGTAAAGAGACAATCTGGTCTGCGGTAGCTCCGGGAGATCTGGCGGCGATAAAACTGAGGATGACGTTGATTAACGCCGGGGAGAAGACGAGGTTGGAGGTTTTTCCGGAGGTAGTGGCGATCACGTGCTGAGTCAACCTCAGAACAATGTCGTTTTGATTCCCAACTGATCCTTCCAGGTTCATCAGGATGTCATATTGTTCCTCTTCTGATTCTTTCAGGTCCATCTTTCTTTTTTTGGTAGTGTCCAGTTCCATCTTTCTTACGGCGAGTTAAGTTGGATTTTTTTGGATTCTCTTAGCCGATTTCTTTCTTCTTCTTTTCTTTTATGTTTTGAACAAACCTCTTAACACAATAACCCTAATTATAGAGTCATCATATATAATTATATATTCTAAACAAAACTAATAAATTTTTATTTTCATATTTTCCTAAATACGCTCACTTTTAGTTAACTTTCTTAAATCCAAAGTTGTGCTGTTTCTGATTTCTTTCTTTTATTTCCCTTTAATATATTCCAATACTTCAGTTAGATTATTCGTTTGCTAGCTCATTAATTGTTTGAGATTTAACGAAGCAAAAACTTCTCATTTTCAAATGCCACAGATGGAAACAGTGCCGTGCTTAATGGGAAGAGGAAAGGGCATTTGCCCAAAGCCACAAAAAAATTTTGAATTTTGTAGGCCACATTTTTTTTTTAGGCATGTATTTAAGTTGTATAGTGGGTATTTGTTTGAGAAGCCCATGACATTAAAATAATATCAATATGTATACGTTATGTATTAGAAAATTTCTGCACATGCTTTAGATTTTAGTTTATAAATATAACACTAATGGAAGATAATTTTAATAAAAGATAACTAAGAATAAAGAAAATTTGTTTTAGAATCATCTACATATTTAAAAGAAAAGGATAATTTGAAAGAAAAAAAAAAGGATAGAAAAATCAAGGGAGACTCACAAAAATGCCCCTTTTTTAATACCCCTTTTCAAAAATGCCCCCTTTGGATGTCCATTTTTAAAAATACCCCTTTTATGTACAAAATGACTAAATTACCCTTCTTTTAATAAAAGATATCATAAATATATAAGGAAAATATAACAAAATTAGGTCCACAAAATACAAAATATTTTTTGGCGGGAAAAGTGATCCCCCAATTTTTCCCGCCAAAACACTTGTAAAAATTTGTAAAACCTTTAAAATACCTTGTAAAATTTTCCCGTAAAATTTTTTCCCGCCAAAAAATTTTCCCGCCAAAAAATTTTTTTTGCGGGAAAAGTGATTCCGCAATTTTTTTGGCGTTAAATTTTTGGCGGGAAAATTTTTCCCGCCAAAAATTTACAAGGTATTTTAAAGGTTTTTTACAAGGTATTTATAAGGTTTTACAATGTATTTTAAAAGGTTTTACAACGTATTTACAAGGTATTTATAAGATATTATAAGATTTTACAAGCTATTTTATAAGGTTTTTACAAGTTATAAGGTTTTACAAGTTTTTTATAAGGTTTTACAAGTTATAAATACCTTATAAAACCTTAAAAGTACATTGTAAAACCTTTTAAAATACATTGTAAAACCTTACAAAACACTTGTAAATACCTTGTAAAAAACCTTTAAAATACCTTGTAAATTTTTCCCGCCAAAAATTTTCCCGCCAAAAAAATTTCGCAAAAAAAATTGCGGAATCACTTTTCCCGCAAAAAAATTTTTTTTTTGGCGGGAAAATTTTTGGAAAATTTTTACGGAAAAATTTTCAAGGTTTGCCCTCTGTTAATTTACAAGTGTTTTGGCGGAAAAATTGCGGGATCACTTTTCCCGCCAAAAAATATTTTGTATTTTGTGGACATAATTTTGTTTCAAATAAGGGTAAAATGGTCATTAAAAATTAAAAGAGGGCAAACTTAAAAATGGACTCTCAAAGGGGGCATTTTTGAAAAGGGGTATTGAAAAATGGGCATTTTTAACAATTTCTCAAAAATCAATCATCTACATGTTTTCAATCAACCACTTAAAAATAAAAAGATTAAAAACAAAATTAGTTGAGTTTAGTGAATGATTTTTTAGGAAAAAAAGGATAGAAAAATAGTGGTTTAGAAAAAAATTTATCTTTCATCTTATTACTACTGTGTATGCTTTGAAACAATATTTTCGTTATTTTGATTTTTTTTTAGTAATAAAGGCCACATTTTTTATTCGCCCTAAGCTACAATTAGCCTTAGCACGGCACTGGATGGAAATGAGAGCCACAAATGGAAATGAGATATGTGTCAACCGGTCATTTGATCAGGATCATTGGAAAAGCTGTCCATGGAAACGAACGGAAGTCACAACCGCTGCAACTCATGTGATCGAAGTAGCAACAGAGTTTAAACCGGTGGATCACCCGATGGATCCCTTAGACAACGATCAACCGATCCAATGTCCACTCCCCCAGCCATCCATTCTGAATGTATTCTTGAAAAGATCCAAGAAAATAAAAAACATGGTTTCTCACTTTCTCTATAATGAAATATTAGGAGAAAACAAGATCGACTCTCTGAGAGATAATGGTCTAAAAATATAGAAATCATGACGATCAAGAAGGATCTAGAAAATCATGATATTTACCAATATCTTAGTTTAAGAATATTAATCAATATCTTAGTTTAAGAATATTTACATTTATATGTAAAAGTATTATTTACATTTATCTTTATCTTAAATTCTTAATTTAGGAATTATCTTTATATATATGGATGGATATTGCAACATTAATCTCATGAGAGTATATTTTAATTTTTAACATTTTTGTGTTCTTTAGACGGATGGATGAGACAGTTACCACAGTACCTTGCCTCACACCACACAAGTTTCCTTCAATTTATAGTTCCGTTTCCTTCATCATTACATTTGGTGTACAAAAGTTATGAGCAGAGCCTTGGTTTAAAGGCTTGAAGCCAAAGCAGAACTAGACGATGATTCAAGAGGGTTTTGCAACTACTCTGTGTGTGTTTGTTACAATTAAACATAAGGATCGGATAAAAGGAACACACAACACAACAGAATTTTATCGCAGACAATGACACAATGGTAATTACTAATTACATTAGTACTAAGATGGTATAATCAAACCTTCTAAGAGAACGGTATTTTGGGGGTACTTTATTGCTCTAGTATTTGCATTCTATCCTTTTACCTGTTTACTCTGTAGTAGAGGTATGTTTTCTGCAAAAATCCCAACAGTGGTGGAAACACATTATAGGCATGAACTTGGGTATATGTTGGCTAGGTAACAGTTAGCAGATATATAGAAGAAAACGGGTAGACTAGTATCAATTTACCTGGAGAACCCACAGACTCAGAAGCAACTCCATGCAGAAGAGACCAAAGCCGACAAAGTAGAATATCTGCAGTAAGATACTAAGTTAGCTAGGTAGCAGCCAGGTGTTATGGTTAATAGGAACTAAATTAGTAACTAACAACTGATCCGTAATAAATATAGAAAAGAGGTCATGGTTTGTACCCCAGCTAATAAACTGGCAGAGATTACATCTATTGCTGCCAGTACACCCCTGTAGATTTGAAGGCATTGAAAAATCACTTGTTGCAACACACGCAGTTAAGTATATACAGAGACACATAATCTTGGACGAGGCTGCATGCATGACCCGAAGAGTTTAGTTTGACGGTTGGTGAAGTTTTCTATGTCGTAAATGAAATGATGTTTCCACATGATGGTTAGTCGAAACACAGAGTTAAGATTCTTAGCTTTCTAGTTCTTATTCTACTCATAATTTGTTATTTCTAGCAGAACAACTTACAACTTGCCAAGTGATCACCTTAAACCCTTGTCTAACTAACCATACATGATGCATTGCAAAGCTTAAGAACGAGATTAATTAACTAAAACAGCAATGATTTGACTACTTACGTTAATGATTGTCCATGGAAAATGATAGGAGGTGCAATGGCGGCAAATATGCAGAAGCCAATGTGAATCTGTCAAGAACCACGTTCAGTAATACAGGAAATAGAAAGTATACATGCGTAGAGTGAAGATAAACTGTGAATCTAAAGATGACAGGTTTTTTAACAACTCACCAGGTAAAAGAAAAAGAACCAACCGAACTTCAAAGCACTGTCAGTCCTGCAAGGTGATAAGACAGTTATAGGCACAGTACCAATATGACCTAGTCTATGGATAGTCAGATAATCGGAGCATTACCTCATTGCTAGGTAGAGAGGCTTGTACCATAAGACATATGAAACTGGACATCCAAGTGACGCATAGATTGTGGCAAGAAAAAAGATTTTAACACCTATCATTCATATATAAACTAGCATTAGCTCAACCAAATCCACTCAAAACTTCATAACATAGTTTTCTTCAAATGGTGAATTTGTTATAATATAAAAGCTCACCTCCGCCTTCAATCCAGCAGACTATTACTGCGATGACATTGAATATGAGACAGAAAACTAGACCTGAAAATTCAAATTCAAACAGTAACAAGTTCATCAGTTCACTGCAGATGACTTTATAGTTTATACAGTTTATAAATAGAATGGCAGATGAAATCAATAAAACCTACCTAACCAACTAGCAAAAGCCAGGTACTGCAGTTTTTGTGCATGAAGTGGTATCTCGTTGTGGTGTATAATTGGGAAAAAGGACGGCCAATTTTTATCGTTTATCTGCACACCAGCTGTGACACAATTTGATGTGTTTCGTTAGTAACAAACAAACCAGCACAAGATTCAAACAATGTTTATTTTGCAAAAATAATGTGTCATGTTGGCTTACACTTAGCAATAGCATCTTCTCTTCGTTTAACATCCTGGGTGAATCAGAGATAAAGAGTTACATGAAAATAATCCAACCAGCAACAAGCCAAGAAACTGAGTGAAAAGGTAGAGAAGACAATAACCATTTCTCTGTTCCTAAGTTGTGCTTCCCAATCAGAAAGCTCTATCTGTTTAGAGTCCTGCACCAATCACACACAAAATCTCAGAGAAATTGCATGAGTGTTACAATAATAATGTTCTTACATTCACCCTATCCAATGGAATATGGACGGTAGAATAAAGGTTACTGCCAAATCCAACGCCACCAGCTCCTTTCTGCAATAAAAGATATATTAAAAGACCACAGACACTTAGACTGCAATAAATTTCAATGAATCTGAAAGGAAAGTGAGCCACAAATAGAAAGCCGCATGTTAAAAGCATAATTTACCAACAAGGGATTGACTTCTTCTTCCTCGTTGAAGGGATTGACAATTTCTTCTTCTTCTTCCTCGTTGAAGGGATTGGGATCGTGGTGGCGACTCATTGTTCACTTTTCAGATCTTAATAGTTTTTCACAACATCGGCCGAGGGATCCGGGGAGAGTTAAGAAATAAAGAGAGAGAGAGAGAAATGAAACAAATGACGACGACGACTTTACTCTCTTATTTGGTTCATGTATAACGAAGATATCTTTTTAGGTATATAAAGTATGGTTTCTAAATGTGGTAACTCATAGGATCGTGTCACGTGTCAAATTTATCGATCTCGGATTTTGACACGTGTTAAACAAAAAATTTCTTTTATTTATTTTTAAAAAATATAAAAAAAAAACTATACGCACATGTCAAATTTATCAACGTGTAAAACCAAAAAATATACTCCCTCCGTTTTCGAATAGTTGTCGTTTTAGAGCATTTTTTTGTTTTAAATTAGTTGTCGTTTTAAGGTAATAATGTAACTTATGCCAATAACTACCCAAATTACCCTCATTTAATTAAACACAAATTATTTGTAAATAATTACTTGTCATTTTTATGAAGTTAATATAGTCATTGCATACATTTTCTTAATTTGTCTAAATACAGTTAAAACGACAACTTTTAAAAAACAGAGGGAGTATATATTTAGAAAAACATTTATAAGGAAATTATACGTATATATATCTTATACAAAACAATTCTAAAAATCTAAAGAAGATAAATATAAAGAAACTAGATGTATCTTATGAAATAAAAATAGAAATTTAAGAAAAAAATTATAAGACAACTATACATATATATCTTATAAAAACAATTTTTAAAAAGTAAAGAAGATAAATATAAGAAAACTATATGTATCTTATTAAATAAAAATAGACATTAAAAAAATATTTACTAATTCTAATTTAAATCTACTAATTCTAAAAGAAAAATATTACTTTTTCCTTAAAATTAAAAATGATTTATGAAATTATACAATCTTTTATGTTTACTAGACATAATTTTATGCTTTTATGACATACAATAGAATTGTTGTCGAAGAAGGTCGACCCGATGTCGGAGGAGATAAAGAATGTGGAGAAATAAGTGCAGTTGGGGTAAGAGGGGAAGATGCGGTAACGGTGGTGTTGGTGTTGATGACGGTGGTTCAAGCTTAGAGGTGTGGCGGTAAATGTTGATGAAGGTGGTGGGTCGGAATTAGCGAGATTTAGTATTGATGGTGATGATGATTGTGATAGTTGTGAGATTCAGTTGTGGTGGTGGCCTGGTGGGTCAGAGTAGTGAGACTCGGTGGTGATGCTCGACGAATGAGAGAAATAGTGATATGGAAAAAGAAAGAAAAAAATATGGTTGTGAAGAAATCCAATGAGAGGGAGAGAAAGAAAAAAAGAAAGAGGGGATCGAGCAAAAATAAGAGAAATCTAATGAGAAAAAAAGAGAGATTTGAGACTTCTCGCCGGCGAGATGAAAGAAAAAAAAAGACAACAAAGAACTCATGAGTAATATGGGCCAAAAATTGACAAAAACTATATAGCAAATAGACATTGTTTAGTTAATATTATTTTCTTAATTCTTTTTTAGTCTTAGGGTTATTTAGTGCATATTCTCTAATTCCTTTTGAATTTGTCTTTTTGTTTTGAAGATTTCTCATATTATCAAGTAAAGTTACATGATGTGAATATAAATTATCTCATATTGTCACAATTTTGTTTCCATCTTGCCCACATTGAAATTAGAAAGTGTTATACACTCTTTCTATAGATGTATATAATTTATTAAAATTCAATAATACACATATGAACATTTATAAAATATCATACTGTAACATTTAATAAACAAACCTACAAATAATATTTTATATTGCACATTATGCATAATTAATCTATATTTAAAAAATAATTAAAATACTATATTTTCTAAACTTAAAACATATTTTTATATAATTTTAGTTAAACTTACAAAAATAAAAATTAAAAATGACAATTTCGACCGGTAACCCGTGTCATATCTAGTATTGACCAAATCAACATATTCTATATATGAAGTCAAATTCAACAAAACCATAACTCGAGGTCAACGACTATAATAAAGGGTTTAAGAAGATAGATATTAAGGAAAATAAAAACAGAAACTCTTAAAAGAACAAAAAAAAGCTCGAGGACTAAGTCAAGTTATTTATTAGTTTCAACTTTCAAGTGGTCCATGGAACAATACTTGAAGAATGCATATGACTTTGACCATAAAAAATTAATGCAGAGAAGGATCAGTAACTTGACCAAGGAACAGATGCAGTCCGCTTGTGTGTTCTTTGACGAGGAAGAGAAAAGGATGATCAGCCACGAAGTCATACTTCTTTGGTGGAGGACGACCACAGCCAATACTCATTACAGCAGCTGCAGCTGCAGCTTTCGATCCCACTTCATCGACCTCGATGCAAGACTTGTGGATGATCGTGGACAATGGCACCTCCAAACCAAAACCCTTGAGAGCTTCCGAGGCTTCGAAATGAAAATCAAATTTAAACCTTGGAATCTTGAGTTCTCCTATAACCGCCCGGTGGCTAGGAATGTCCTCTTCGTCATTCAAGATTCCACGAGTGGTAGCTAGTCTCTCCAGCATTGCAGGCAACCCATCTTTTTCATCAGGGAGATAGATTTGCATTGCGAAACTACGGCCGTCTTCTTCGTAATCCCGCCCTTCTCTGTAC